CTTTTTAGGTACTATGTGACGGACGGGCCACGAGCCAGGCGGCTCTCGCGAGTCACGCACATCATGTTCTCATGCACTCACGCAGTGAAAAATACTTCGCGGGGCAAAGACTAACGTTACACCGAGTGATTACGAGAGAGAGTTCAGAGCAGCTTACTGTTGATATGAAACAAAGTCTCAACTTTCAAATATTGTCATTTAAGTAATTTAAACATTACCGTTTTCAAGTTCATGTCCACCGACTGACAGCTTTGTTGTCGGACAAAGTTGCGTATTCGGCGTTATGATTGGCCAGGCCACCTGTCAATCAAACCCCCTAGGCATGCAGGGCCAACGGCTCTGAGCAGGGCATGGTAAATTGAAACGTCAGGTTTTAATTTGATATGACAAATATATTTATTCTATATTTAACTTGTGAACGACCGACCTGCTGCTGCACGTAGGCCTATAGATGATTGCTGCCTGCGCCTTATTAGAATAGGTTATATATCAACCAATAAATCGCCTTACTCTCTCTTTCATTCTAGTCTATTCTTAAAACACAGCGTCATCATCGACCCCACAAACTTTCGGTAAGTTTGAATATTAACTTGATGGATGTATAATTTTGCTTTTTGTGTTTGATTAAACTCTATATTCGCCTAAAGGACTGGCGATAATATATCCGGTAGAAATATTTAAATTTTGCTGCGCCATCATGATGTAAGTTTATCATTTAAACGCGTTTTTAAACGTTGTGGTTTGGATACAAAATATTTCAAACTGCTCAGGCACAGTGAGCAGCGGGAGAATTTATTTTGTAAATGCTGGTTTTAAGACCAAGGTGAACCATAGACTGTGGTGAACTTGAGACGGTTTTGCACAGCGCACTTGAATCCGACTCTGAGGTCTCAAAGTGACAGACGCCGCTAATAAAGCTGCTGTCGCCAATGTGTGTCAATAATGTTAATCAAACATTAGAAAGAAAGTAATTTACTGCATTTGACTGAATTACTTTTGCAAAATTAACAAGAATGAATGTTGAATTTATAGTGAAAACCATGTATTGTATATTTGATTACTTTATATAATATTATTCAGTGCTTTAAGTTTTTCATAGGTCGATTTATTGTGCCTTTGTTCTATTTTAATTTGTGACTCTTGTCATCAGTAAGCTTGAGATTATTTTCTTAAGCTACTATTATTTTTTGGTGATATTGAAATTGGTCACAATAATTATGAAATTTTAGTCAATACATTTTGATATGATAAAAAAATCATGTTAAAAGTAACATAACTTAACTGTGAAGTATATCATGGATAAAATGACTCGTAGGCTATAATAATATAACATTTAGCTCATGTAGTTGGTGACCTAAAGTGGTGGGGGGGGGGGGCCCTGCAGTAACTCATAGCCCCGGGGCCCAGTGAGCTCTTAATACGGCCCTGGTGCCGTCACATTATTACATTTTTTTTTTTAGTAGCCTATATCCTTGCCTTGTTTTTGAATGCATAAATCAAATAGTGTTAAATTCATTTCAGAGAAAGTTTTTCTCAATCTTTTCCACTGGCCAAATAATATTTTTAATCGATTTATATTTTAATGGAAAGCGATAGACATGGTTGTGCATTATTTGCACGAAACAGTTTTCTCAGACAATCTCTAGTTAAAACATTAAAACACAGCATGCCAGAAGAAAAGTGTTCAAAAGCAATGCATCCACAACAAATAGGTCTATTTCTATTTATTGAATATATATATATATATATATATATATATAGTAACTTCTCAGTAATGATTTCATGTAGTTTAAGAGTTTAACTCCATTAATGAGAATGGCATATTTAATCTAAATGTTTATATCAGAAGTAAAACATAGTTTAAACCATTCTCTTATTTATTTAAATTGTTATTGTGAATATGGACTGTATTTATGATTTGGACTCATAATGAAGATTTACGGTTTTACTCCATCTGCCGTTAGATTATAGGCTATATGTGTGTCAGTTTCACCAAACGGCCCAACGCGCGTGCTGGCACGGTCATTTAAGAAGGGATGGATGTTTGCTTCAAGTGATGATAGGTTTGTGAAATTATTTTTGTATTATCTTTCTGTAGATGTATAATTTTCTTTCGATTCTCTGTCTAATAGTAAGCAAAAAGACATTTGACTCCAGCTCACCATCGGTGTCGCCAAAACCCATACTCTTCTAAAAGAGTGCGTACGCACGGTCAAGAGCATCCTTACGGTGAGCACTTATTTACGGCAAGTTTATTTTTTTATAAATCCCGATGTGCGCGTGAAAAAATGCGTACGCATATTTCTATGCCCATTTTGTGCGTACGCAACGTTTATACTAGGGGTGCACGATTCAGAAAATGTCACGATTCGATACCGATTTTTTGTCTCGAGATTCGATTCAAAATCGATTTTCGATTCAAAAACGATTCTCGATTCAAAAAACGATTCGCAGGTCTACATAAATATAGTTTACTTTTTCCTATGTGATTGATTGCAGAAGACATAATTTAAAAGAAAAGTTTGATATTACTTTATATGTCTTCATACAAAAATAAAAACTTTTGCAACTAAAATGTGCGAAGTGCCAAGCTTTGGCCAGCTTTTAAATACATTTAATTCAAGTTTAAAATAAAACTTAAATAAAAAGCTTTTACATTTAGCTTTAAAGTGCTGTAGTCAGATCAAACAAACAATTATGCTAAATGTGGTTTAAGGAGTAGGCCTACTTCAGCTACCAGGTTGACTGTTGAAATGAACTCGACTGGGCACATTGAACTCCCTAAAAATATATAGGCTAGGCTGCTAATTTCATAGAACCCTTGCGAAAATATTTTAAATAGATTTAAAAAAGCCACCGCTACTAGTAGCATCTATCGTTAGATTGATTTGTTTAGATCCAGTGAAGTCGTTCATAGGCGCTGTAATTTGCGGGTATCTCCAGTTAACTAGCAGAGCATTCATTTAGTTCGCTATTAAATAAGAGACCTGTTGTTTTTGAAATCAAGCTGAGCGCTCGTGTCCGCTGCAATCAGTGTCATGGATATACAGTGTTCTCTGTGGCTCGCGTAGTCTTCTCTCAGACGCGCGCTTCAATCTATCGCCGTTGTGGAGACTCCGGTGAAATCACAAAATAAAATGCACACAAACGTGATGAACATATTCGGTTTTGATGAGAGAGAGAAAAAACTATACGAGTGCGGTTTAGAACCCGTCACCTCTGACACGCTTGGCAAAAGATCTACAGAACTCAAACATAAGATCTGCGGATCGATGCATTTATTTACGGGTTGAGCAGAGTGGCTGCACAGTTTGACCAGCGGGCGGCAAGAACTTGCAATAACTATTTATCAGACCGGTCCTCGCAGCTTTGAAACCATAGAAACACTACTGGACCACCGGTAAAAGTCCCGACTTACCCGATTGCCACTCCGCCCCTGCACGCCATTAAAAAAATATAGCCTATGAATCGATTTTTGGAATTCTATGAATCGATTCTGAATCGGTAAAGATTGAATCGCGATTCAAATGTGAATCGATTTTTTTGCACACCCCTAGTTTATACATGAGGCCCCAGGACACTGTTCTGGAAGAGGAACGGCTCATAATCCCTCTGGTCACTGTGAAGGACTTCTATCTGTCAATTGATGCTGTATTTGGATGCAAAATGAGGCCCTCACCATTCTAACAAATTATTGTGTTGTAAAACCAGGTGTTTCAGTTTCATTTTCCAACCCCTGTATATTAACTAGGAAGTTCATTTCTGTTATGTATGTTTTGAGCCAATTTAAAACATTACCAGAAAAACCAACAAGGTTTTCCAGTCTGTTTAGCAGAATACAATGATCAACGGTGTCGAATGCTGCACTTAGATCTAAAAGAATTAAAACTGAGGCATTGCCTTAAAACTGACCTACAGACACCTACATCTTGGATGCCCTTGAGGTAAGCTAAAACATATCAAAAATTAATTTCAAAGTGAACTATCCCTTTAAAACAGGAGTTGAGAGCTCAGAAGGCTCACAACCACCGCTGCACTCGGGCTGTAGAAACACTAGCACCAAGAGAAACTTCCAGAAGAAGCACCAACACACTCACTCGTTAAAAAAACATCAACACTCTTCAGAGACATCGGCTCCGAAGCAAAAGACAAATGGTGCGAGCCTCCTCTTCCGTATTTATACAAGCACTGCGGGGTGGAGTGTGAGACAAAGCTTGTACGCCAATGCATTGGCTCATTTGATCAATACTCGAAGATGACAGACTCCCTAAGCGCAATCCCAATCAGTACGGTACGTCCGACTACGTCGAACGTGACCGAACTGAAAGGGAACTATAGTTGACATGTTTTAGATTACTAGATTTAGCTACTGTGCTATTAAACGGGGGTTTACCTCATCATCTGTCTGTAAATAATTCTCTGCAAACTCCAGCAGTTCCTTGAGTTTGGTAGTTAGATAGTAATATCTAAGAGCTTCCTGTGTGGACAAAGACAAAAGTGTTAAAGCAGTAGTGCTAAAACACAACCAGAACAAAATATTTTTAACTGAATGTCTGTTATCAGATAACTTTAGAATGACAAGCAGAGTAAAAAAAAAAAAAAAAACAACAACAACAACAACAAAAAGAGTTTAACTCTAGTTTTTGTTTAGTGGATTTGTTTCTGGGTTTGAGTTAAAAGCCAATTGAACCAACAAAACAAAATGTATCTGCCACTTCAGTACTGTGATGGGGAAATTAAATCTTTTAGTTAAAATGTTGAGCATCAGAAGCATTACTTTACTACATATTTGTAATATTGATAAGTTCATAATATGCTTGTGTGTCTGTACTTACTGGTCGTGGTTTGAAATGCTCGTCATGCAATCTCCACTGTTGTTTGTAGTATCTGTAGTAGGCAATGTTCTGCTGCATCACTTGATCATCTGCATCAAACAGCATATAGCTCGCAGCACACAGCGCTGCATTACGCACATCATTTACTAAAAGGAAAACAAAAGTCATTTATAAAGTAATAATTTAAATGAAAACCTTTTGCCGATGAAGAAGTTTATGGGGTTTGCGATTGGACTGCTATAGTGGAGTGACTAGACCTCTATCTACACTTGGCCGCATAAATGTGTCTTCATAAACTGGAAAGAAAACTAATCCTCATTTCCTACATTACATGCAAATTCAAAGAGCTTCATATACATTATTAGCAACAGATGTTATATGCTATATTTTCAAAATCAAACATCGCAATGGGAGAGAGAGCTGAGTCAGCATTGGTGGAGGAAAATAGTTATGAATGAATGTTGGACTTCAGGATGTAACACCAAAAACAAGTTTTTAATGATGCACTGTTCTAGGCAAGTTAGTTATTCCACATTTTTGGATCTAAAATGTATCATACCAATACTTGTAGATGTTAGTATTAGAGAGTATTAGAAAGTGTTAGAAAGTGTACATGTGAAATACTGAGAGACTTGCAGATCCCCTACATTAATTTTCTGAAATCAGCATACTGATATGAAACATGGGCAGATCGTAATATTTATTTTGTCTACTTTTGGCAGATGCATTAAAGGGTTAGTTCACCCAAAAATGAAATTTAAGTCATTAATAACTCACCCCCATGCTGTTCCAACCCCGTAAGACCTTCGTTCATCTTCGGAACACAAATAAAGATATTTTTGATTTAATCTGAGAGCTGTATCACTCTTCCATTGGCTTCCTAAGGGACTGGCTCTTGACGGCCCATAAAGTCATTAAAGAAAATGTTTAAATGTTCCATGTGCCGACAGCGGCTCAATTATAAGTTTATTAAGCGACGAGACTACTTTTTGTGCGAAAAAAACATAAATAACGGCTTTATTTGACTATTCCATTACTTCCTTATTGGCGCATGCGCGAGAACTGAGACGAGGACGATCTCCTTCGACTTGTTACCGGCTGCTCACCGCTTAGGAGTTTTACCGCCCCCTACCGTATAAGATGATGTGCTGATATAGCTGGAAGCGCAAAACTTTCTGTTTACAAGCAGAGGAAGATGCGCGCTGTACATACGCTTTTCAATTAGCGTATTTTCCATACTAAAAGGTGCACTTAAAAGCCTTTAATCTTCTCAAAAAACGACAGTGTGCCTTATTATCATCTTATACGGTAGAGGGCGGTAAAACTCCTAAGCAGTGAGCAGCCGGTAACAAGAAGTGGTCGAATGAGAACGTCCTCGTCTCAGTTCTTGCACATGCGCCAATAAGGAAGTAATGGAATAGTCGAACAAAGCCGTTATTTATGTTTTTTTCGCACAAAAAGTAGTCTCGTCGCTTGATAAACTTATAATTGAGCCGCTGTAGGCACATGGAACATTTAAACATTTTCTTTAATGACTTTATGGGCCGTCAAGAGCCAGTCCCTTAGGAAGCCAATGGAAGAGTGATACAGCTCTCAGATTAAATCAAAAATATCTTTATTTGTGTTCCGAAGATGAACGAAGGTCTTACGGGGTTGGAACAGCATGGGGGTGAGTAATTAATGACTTAATTTTCATTTTTGGGTGAACTAACCCTTTAAGACACTGAACCCTCCACTGGGTGTGTGTGTGTGGGTGTGTGTGTGTGTTACTTACATTTGTAATAAGCAAACTGCATGTAGTGGTACATGGTGGCAACAAATTTCTCCACAAAGTAACCACCAACATTTGGTATCAAAATATCCTCACATTTTATTTTACACTTCATTACTTCAAAATAGAAATCTAGAGGAAGGAAAATAGGAGAGTGAGAATACTGCATTAATCCTGATACACACAAAAAAAAGTCCTCAACAACCAATGATTGTAATAGACTTCATATGTCAGATCATTCATGTACTTCTCAGGTATGCCAAAATCAGTTACTTGTGTACCAGGCCTATTTTTATTGGGAAAGGTTTTTATATTCACAGTAATTTGAACCAAATCTGACAATGCCTCATGACATCACTGACCGGCTAAGGTGGGATAAAAGTCTTTGAACTCCTGCACATTGTATGACCCCTCACAGGACAGCGAACACATGTTGTATGTTTTAAAGTACTCAGCAGCTGCCAGCTCCATATCTCGAGCACTGCTGCTAAAATCCCCAGAATCATACAGCTTTACAGCCTTCAGGAATAAAGCCTGAGATGATAGAATAATAGATATAAAACCATATTTAGTTATTTTGGAATTGTGCTTCTAACAATGAGGTTAAAAAGGAAAACAGGAGAGAATACATACCTCATATGGCTGCTCCTCGTGGTCTATGAGGTACTCCTCCATGTCAAACAGGCTTTTATAGTAGTTGAGACTCCTAGATAGCAGGGGGTCCCCAGGGTTTCGCTGGAGATATGTGTATGCTGCTGAAACTGCTCTCTCCAACTCATTCATCTATATGCACATAACATAAGATACTTTAGCATCTGAATTCCCATTTGTTTTACAGGTTCTTAATTCTGGCTGTCAGCACCTGACTGCATGGACAAAACCTTTCAGATTCATTTCATTGGTGTTAGTGGAATAAGAGGTCAGTGACATAGTTGAGATCCGGGTGATATTTGTCCATTGGCTTTCTTAGATTTAAATATATCTTGTGACAGCATGCTTGGTGTTAGAACAGTCATCACATTTATTTATATAGAGCTTTATAGAAAATCTTCTATCTGTGTAAACATTTTATTTGAAATAGCCTTTTCAATCTATGAATCAAACAGTCAAATGTCTGTGGGATGGTTCTTGGCTGTCCTGCTGATAGGACAACAGACACAAATTATGCCAAATCCAGCTCAGACCAGAGCCAAGGCCCACAGACCCCAGCATTTGCTAAACCCTCACCTTGTCACGTGGTGATTGTATACGCATGAAGATTAAGGCAAATAGGAAAAATTTTATAAATCCAACAGGTAATCCAAAACAAACGGAGCAACATACAACACATCCAAGATAGAAGACACCAGACACTGAACTGAAACAGAACCAAACATATAAAGGTGATAAAGATGGTGAAAATGATTGAACAGCTGAACAAAGTTAGTGTCCGTGAGAACGAATGAGTGATGAAAGCAGATGATGACAACACAAAGAGTTCAAATAAACGTGACTGTGACCGAACGCCTCCTCCCGGTAGCCACAACCTCGTGCTGTAGAGAAGAGTAGACAAAGTGGCGAAGGGATGGGACAGACAGGCAGTTAGTTATGGGGATGGCACAGACAGTTATGGAGGTGGATAGACAACTGATAAGAGAAGGAACAACAAAGTCCAGGCTGGTGATGAAGGTGGAGATAGCTAAAGGATGACCTTGAGCAGGTGATGATGGCTGTTCATCTAGGCCACAGCCAGGGGAGTGCCCAATGGCAGTGTTGGTGGAGGGAGGAGCTATGGAGGAATACTGATGAGGGCCACCATGGGGATGACAGGAGACAAGGACGGCGTGGCCGATGTGCCAAGGGAGTCCGGCGATGTCAAATGACCCACGCTGAGGTCGGGTGTTGACGGAGTGCAGGCTTAACACACCAAGGTTGTGGATGTAACCTTGGACTCCTCATGCCCAGGCGGACATGGCTCCCAACAGGTGCAAGGTGGTTCCACGCTACTGAGATGCAGAGGTGGTACAGAGGCACTGATGGGAGACAGTGAAGACTGGATGGCATGGATGGCTAAAGACTGGGAAGAGACTGAAGACCAATGCAGAAATTTCCTGAAGAGTTGGTGGGAGAAAAGGGCTGAGCAGGGCCAGCTATACAGGTAGAGGACAGACTGGTTCAGGCAATAGTATTGGGGCTAAAATAATGTCCTCTCCAAACTAAAAAAATAACAGTGTCTTGGCCAGCAACTCAGTCTTAGTAGTGGACGGGGCTCACTTCTGAGCCCTCAAAGTCCACCAGCACTCCCTTGGTGATGGATGACTTGGCCGGCTCGCAAACCCGGTCAGACGCGGGCTGCTCAGGTTTCGTGACAGTTTGATCCTCGGTCGCTCTTGGTGGTGTGGGCTCAAATATCACAACGGTATCCCTCACGCTACCTGCGGTGGGCTCAGGCAGTCTATTCTCGTTTGTTTGGGTGGTTTTGGCTGAGCACTGGATGGGGAGTGGGGTATCCTCGACAGTAAATGCTGATCCACAAGAAGTCAGCACCCACTCCACAGTTAGCGTAGCTCCCTCGAGGAACCTCCCCAGACAACTGGAGTTGCGGAGTTTCACTGCCGGAAAGCCCATGGTGCAAGCAGGGGTAAAGATGGAAAAAACACGGATCACAAAAAAAAAAAATAAATAAAATCTAACTAACTCGTCGTTACTTTGTTGGTCTGGTGTTTTGTACAGTCCAATAGTGTCAGTACTGTCAAATCAATATTATTGCTGAATATCATGTAGGGCTGCATGATTAATCATAATTAAGCCAAAATCACAATTTGGCAAAAAACCAATTATGAAATCACAAAGACTGCGATTTTGAATACATGCACAGCGTTAGGGTTGGGCAAAAAGACAATGCCATCGTCCATCGCCAATAGCTGAGAGACATCACAACATTGAGTCGTTTTTAATTATACAATTGTTTTCAATGATTTGGCAGATGGCCATCTAGCGAATGTATATCAGTTATGTATATATCTATACATAAATTATATACATACACCCGTGGCCCCCATGTCATCCCCCATCCATCTGGATGTTTCAATGTAGAAATCACCCAACCCTACACAGCGTGTTAGTGAAGAGCACCTGTGATCAGTACTGAATGCTGCTCCATCTCTGAAAGCACTGCGAGTTTGAGTCGCTTATAACATGGATGTGAAAAAGCAACATGTCAAACATCTTCCCAAATTTTAATGTAAAGCACTCAAAAACCTGTTGTCCAACAAGACAACAATTAATAACATGATTTTACACCAAACTCACTACATAACGCCAGTCGAGTGTTTGTGAGCTGATACGGATTCTTTTCATAGAATGAGGCAGACAAGATTCGTATTATTTTATAGTATACAGTGATAAAGGTTGTGCTGATTAGGATTGCATTATATATATATTTATATTTTGAAAATACCCGAGAAGGCTTGAAGAACTCAAATACACCATATATTGAGGCAGTCATGTGTTTATTGTCACCATGTTTAATCAACCAAAGCATTTCTATCTTCTTTCTAGATAGAAGATTTATCATTTTCTATATTTCCCCCTCTCTTCACATTAATGTTATAGCCTCTGCCCCTGCCAACCCTAGGAGACCATCAAGTGTCAATCTGTTCACACTGGCAGAAAAAGGAAAAATGATGATGAAGGAAAGGCAAGATGAGTGCCACAGGGCAGTCACAAACTTCATTGTTAAAGATTTGCTGCCTTTTTCTACAGTGGAGGCTCCATGGTGGAGGTAAGTAAGCTGATGTTGTTTTCCAGGTGCTTAGGCAATCTATTAACCTAGATCATGTTTGTTTGTTTTTGTTTTTTTTGTTTTTTACCTTTTATAGTAAGCAACAATGATTTCCATTACACGAGAGTAGATGTTAAAACTTCATGCTGATTTATACTCGGCTTTCGCCTAGGTAAGCAAAACTAAGACGTAGCTTTACAAACGTATGACTTACAGAACGTATATTTAACTATGTTTCGAGAAACACATATTAACTAAAATGTACAGCTTAAGGTGTAAATTAAGAACGATGTAGCATTAAGAAGGTTTCGGGAAACTCAGCCCAAGTCATTTATAGATCAGTGAGTATCAGCATATCAAAGTCCATTAAAGGAGATTTCTTGCATTTTAATGTGATGCATTTTAATTAGGGATGGGCATTTTTCAAAAATATTGCATTAGAATATTCGGCCTCATAAAAATCGAATATTCTAATACTCATTTATTTAAATGACGTTTAACGAAAAATACGTTATTTTTAAGTTAGATTTTTTTTTTTACGTTTTTGTCACCATTTCTGCTTACAATTAGGCAATATACACAACAAGATTACAATATATATTTAAGTTTTCTTTTAACTGAAAATATTAAACAGTAGGCCTTTGTGTAAATAAAAAATATAAAAAAACAAAAGCATTATTAAAAGCATGCTCAAGCAGCACGAGCGAAAAACAAGCCTAAAGCAGATTGCGCCAGATATACCGTACACACACACACACACACACACAAACACACGAATCAGCATATGATTGTTTATATTGTTTCACGTTTATGCTAAAAAAAACCAATAATATCTACATTCAGGGGAGCCGCCAGCACTTTATGCTCGAGTGAGAAAAGGCGCTTTGCTGACAGACGTTTCAGACACACAAAGAGAACGGTGTTCTAAGTTTCTAACAGCACTTTGCATTTTCTGTTCTTAAACCGGTCTCCCTCAACGAAACTTTAAGGAAGTATGTCTCAAAATCATTTTGCTATTAGATAAGTTAACATCTTGGATCACACGCGGTCCAGCTGCGCTTTATACCTGCAGTCGTGATGCAGTGATGGACAGCTATCTTTCCTCATTCGACTGTTTGGATTTCATGTGATTTCTCATTGTGGTGATGATATTATAACTCAGAATAATTAATTAATTTGATCAAAAGTAATTCCATTTAGTAAGATAATTTTCAATTAATTCCAAACTTCACGAAGCAGACGACAACATTATGTGATTAAATACAAACTTGTTAACCCTCTGAGACCTAAGGGTATTTTTACAATAAATTTTCCGTCTGGTGTCATTTACTAAAAAAGCTTGTAAAATATCAACCCTTTGGTGCACAGACAATTGACACACCTCTTTTTTTTCAGGACAAATTGAACTTTCAGCATATTTGTGTTACATTGATGTCACCTGAATGTAAAATAAGTTATGGGACCATAAAGACAAATGAAAAAATAAATCGGAAATGGAATCACTCAATTATTTATTGAAATCACACACAAATAAATAAAAGCTAAGCAATTTTCCTCTGGAAAATAGTTTGTTCATGTCTTTGGAGTCCTGGAGCACAGGAATAAACATTATAACTTGTACAGAACAAAAAATATTGACATTTTTCCAAAAGAAGTCCAGGCGTTTGGGGCCTCATGAAATTCACTGGTGCCAAGCCTCAAAACAGTTCCTATCAGCAATCACACACACTGAAAAAAATGATTCTGAGTGCATGTAAATGTTACGTAGTTAAAATGTGTAATATTAACAATAAAATGTTACGTTTATATCTTTACATAATATATCTGGTTTTGAATTTATCTTCATTTGTTCAAAACACAAGACAATGTGCATATTTTTACCTTACAAAATTAATCTAAGTAATCTCAGCCAATCTTTTTAGGCACATGCACTCAACAAACAATACCTTGTTTAATTTACTCAGTGCAAAAAATTACTCCCCTTCCTGTTTTTTGGTCTGGAAACCCCTTGCATTTCAAA